ACGACCAAAAGAGAACTCTAGAGCTCAGATCAGATCTGATAGTTTTTTCGGTTGGTGGTTCTCGCCGGTTCAGATTGTAAATATGTGTTTGTTTCTTCTAGCCTTATAGATCTAGGTTTCCGGCGTGTCCGCCGGATCTTTTGTTGTAATATATTTCGGCTCGGCAGATCTTTTGTTCCGATCTTGGTCGGATTTGGTGTGTTCTTTTACAGGATTAGTTTTCTCCCTTGAAAACCGAGACCAGGCGGTGAAGATTTTGAAACTCTTTCCACTTCTTTTGGTGCTTTTCCTCCTTGGTTGGGAGTTTAAATCTCCCTAGTTTCCCCGACTTCAAGCCTTATGTGAAGGCAATGGGTGAATGGTCATGTGTGGTGGGCCGGTGTCAATTTCCTCGGTGTTGTGGAGTTTCTTGTCTGCATCTGCTTGGTTTTGTTCCTGTAGGAGATCTGGTGATTTTGAAGGTGTTTGGGTCGCTTACTTCGTCGGCGATTGGAAATCGTTCGGAGAGCTAGGCGGCGTCGCTACGATACAACCCTAGGGTCATGTGTATCAGTTGGGCTTATTTTTGGGTTGTGTTGTTTGTAATGGATCCTCCGATTTCACTACTTGAAGCCCATTGGGCTGGATAATAAAAATCTTTTGACGTCAAAAAAAAAAAGAGTCAAATAGTGCCAAAGTATTCCAATTTTTTTTCCTTTTATACAAACTTGGTTTATGACCCAAAAAAACAAAAAAACACAAACTTGGTTCTGTATATTACAGTCTTTTTTTTTTTTGTCTGGGTCTTGGTATTAGAAAGTCTAATATCATTTTCATTACATATTTATATAGCCCATTTTTAAATTCCTGGTCGTGCTCTGTTTGGGCTTGGCCCAATCCGCTCCGATGAATTGTTCACATTGAAATACAAGAAAGAGAGCGATTACAAAAGAAAAAATACAGAGGACAATGTCTCGTACCAGTAACTACATATTACATTGAGCTCAGGGAGGTGTCTTTGTGTATCAAAAATAGTAAACTAAAGATCAACGGCGGGCGGGATGTCGTCGACAGTGAGATCTACGCCATCATCCGGTAACTCAGATCCAAGCGGCCCTAGTATCCCTTCAGAACTCAGCGTCAGTCCGCTCTGCTCAAAACATACAACAACATAAACTTCATTATCCTCCACCAAATCAAAGCTTCTCTGGTTATTTCCGATTAACTATCACAATCCAATTTAAACAAACCAAACCCCCAACAGCATTTACCGAAATGAACCACATAATTCTCGAAAACCCAACAACTCATTTGAGGTGGTTAATGTAAATTGCAAAAGTCCTAGATGGTAACTAAATATGTTCACCAATTGTTGGAACTTGAGTTAAAAAGATAAGACATCGAGAGGCATTGATAAAACGAGGCCAGTTAAACGGATAATCATACCTCAGGTTGGAAGCGAAGCATGTCTGCACGAGCCATAGCTTCTGCTTGTGCGATTCTCTGCCTGAACGTCTGAGCCATCTCCTCAGCCTTGAGACAACAGAAAAAGTAGAAAACAGGATTGAGACGAAAGAGGGAATTGTATGGGAGAGTATTCCAGTGGAAATAGTGTTACCTTCTCGAAAACAAGTTTTGGGTTGCGGATCATATCACCAGGTGTTGGCTCTAGCTTCTTGGTGGAGAGACTTACTCTTCCTCTGTCACGGTCGTGGCTCAGTATCATAACCTGCAAGATTATAAGTTACAGACAATTGTTTTAACATCTCAAAATGAAAAAAAGGTTTAAAGAATATCCGTGGAAGACCTTCAGAGTGTCACCAGGCTGAAGAACAGTTGCGATATCTGAGACACGATCATGACTGATCTGACTGACATGAAGAAGCCCATTGATCCCCCCAATGTCAATGAAGGCACCATAGGGTTTCAAGCTCTGAACAACTCCGAGGACCACAGATCCGATTCCAAGCTGAGCTTGGCTGTCTGCTACTGCTTTACGGTTGCTGAGGACAAGTTTAGTTTGTTCCTCATCAACCTCCACAAACTTGAGAGGTATTTCTTTATCAAGAAGCTCTTCAGCTGCTGCTTTCTAATAAAATTGTGGAAAAAACACATCCTCATAAATCATAAAAGCAACAAAGATTCCAGCTACCCAAAAATGCTTGTTGATTATCCTTAAAATCATAAAAACTACTCACCGATGATATTTGTGAAAATGGCACAAACCCACGAAGACCCTCCACTAGAGCCACCAATCCACCTTTGTTAGCACCAATAACCTAGGCATATAATCGAATTGGTGAGATAGTAACCAGATAGATCAAAAGAGTAGCAAAGAAGTTCCTAGCGTACCTTAGCCTTGACAATGACATCCTCAGCCTGAAGCTGCCTGCATCGTTCCCAAGCAAGTTCGTATTGGATCATCCTTAAGCTCAATAGCAAACTGTCATCACTTTCGTTTTCACCGATAATGACAAACTCTTCAGTCATACCAGGAACAATTCCGGCTTCTTCCACATGCTTGATTCTATGAATGCACGCCTGTTCAACCGACAAGTAGGCCGATGACTTTGCAGAAATGTCAACTAATGCACCATTTGCGTCAGTCTTGAACACCGTTCCTTTTACCTGAAGAACAACAATGTCATAACCACAAATGATACCAAATCCATATTCCCAACTCCCTAAGCTCCGATTCCCAAAATTTCTCAAATTCTACAAGATTGGGGATTAGACAAACCCTAGTGCCGATCTCGGAATTGAAGTCGTATTGTTCGATAGCAGCTGCGAAATCGTCGACGGTGAACGCGACACCTTCCATGGGAGCAGTTCGACATCGCTCGTAAGCGTCCTCGAACATCTTCTTCAGCTCGAGACGCTCCCTTGTCTGCCCGCTAGACATCGCAACGGCGGCGACAATCGTCGGAGAAACGGAGGCGGATTTGTTCTGAGGAAAGTTCTTCGCGGCTCTCCTCGATAACCTAGAAGAGGAAGAGAGTGGAGAGCACCTCAGGCCCGTGAATTGCTGAGCCAACGACGCCATTATTTGCTACACTCGAAGAGTCTCACTCACTCACTCGCAGCTTTATCTGTTTCTTCTTCTATGGCTCCTGCGTCTGTTTTATCGTTCGAGTTAGATAAGAGAGAGATGCACAAAGGAGTAGAGATGATGATGATCTGGACCACAACTACGTGCCGTTTATTTACCGTCTAAACAGCGTGATGTTTAGTGCCAATCGACCCGAAACAAGAATTGCGTC